GCCTAAGGGAAGGAATGCTTTCGTGGAAGACTTTCTAATGGAAACTTTCTCGTTACAAATGGTAAAAGCCACGAAAACACCCATGCAGCCAGCCCATTCGTCTGGATTCGAAACAAGGTCGGAACTATCAGCGTTAAGCGATTTTACCGCTCCGCCGCTGGTGGGCCTCTTTCGAACGAAACATAATTTATTCAGACGGGTAATTAACTTCCTCTCAAAAAAAATAATTTAACTGGAGTCTCAAAAAAATAATTTACCTGGAGTCGCGGTAGTATCAAGTTTAGCTGTGGTCAAGGGAAGCAGGTTCATTGACAGGTCTATCTCAGAGCTTATGATGATCCTTTACATAACTACGAATAATCTCAATTATATTTTTATTTACCCGCTCTGCAATATTTGATATTCGACTGTGGCCGGTAATTAAACATTTTTTTTAATGTTTTATGCCAAACCCTGCAATTAATGCCTCAATAATTAGGCTAACAACTTTCTTTCCATTTTCCGAAATTACATTTTGTGAGACCCTATATTTTAAATAAATTTGTTTAGAAAAGAATCTGGAACAATTTTAGCGGAGTCTCTTTTGAGGGCAATTATTTCTACCCACTTTGAAAAATGATCTGCGATAACGAGTAAATATCTATTTTTGTTAACTTCACTACGTGGTTTAGGTCTAATAAATCAACTCCTATTAATTCATTGGGAATGTAGCTTTTATGCTATTTGGATACCTGACCTGGCTGTAATTAATGTTGTTAAATAATTGGCAAATTAGGCAAGACTTAAAATACATTGTAACAAATTATTATGGCTGTAGGAAATAAACAGCTTCTTAAACTCGTTGTACCGTTTTTCTTATGCCAAGATGGTCTGAAATTATTGAATCATGTGATTCCTGCAAATGAGTAAATCTTAACCTGTTTGGGATATCTGGTCTTAGTTCGTTATTTTCATTTGTTGCTTTTGCACAAAACAAAAAATTGTCAATAATCTCATAATTTGCGGCTTTGTTTCTGATAGCCGTTATATCCTGATGTTCAAAATTGTCAGGATCTCTTAAATAAATATAAATAAATTTTAATTTTTTTGTCTGCTTGTAATTCAGAAGTAATAGTCTCGCCAGAATTAAAAATTTTTTAAGTTAACATCGCACACTTAAGTTCATTCCCCTCTTCATCTAATTTTATTCTTGACACAGCTTTGGCCACGATGTTCTCTTTTCTTGGAATATGCTTTAATTATTAAATCTGTAGAGTTATTACGTTTATTTTGAAGCAGTACATGAAAAATAAGCATAGCCCCCGCCAGGTCTCGAACCTAACCTCTCGAATACGCACCGAGAGTGCTACCGTCACACCACGAAAGGATGCTGGAAAAAGAGAGAAAATACCTTATAAATTGTATTCTTGTAGTTTAAGGGACCACCTAATAAATATGTGCGATAAAATCTTCCCGAAATGCTACATGGCGGCATGATCTGAGTGAATCATTTGTGCCGTCTCAAAATCCACTCGAAACGTTTGAACCGCTAAAAGAACTGCTAAGGTTTCCATTTCCGTAGCTGTATAATTTCTCTGTGTTGGGTTAAGTGTCTTACTGAAAATAGCTATGTGCTGAAATTAGCATAAGCACGAACCAACCGCATAATCGGGAATTTCTAAGTTTCCATCACCTTAAGGAAATCTCAAAATTGACGCTTGAATTAACGCTGTTTTAAGTTTTTCGAACACTGTGTTTGCTTCGGCTGACCAAGTAAACCTGGCTTTTTGCCTTTTTAACATTAAACCGGTTCTACTGTCTGCACAAAGTTTTTGATAAAAGTTCTATAGCAGGAATCACAGGCCCAAAAATGAGGTGACTTTTCTTCTGTTATTTGGTAGAGGGTAATTTTTTATTGCAATTATTTTTAAATCCTCGGTCTCGATTCCTTTATGAGATGCTTTACAGCCTAAGTAACGATGTTCCTTGTGGCAAATTTCCATTTGAATGCATTTATTTTTAATCCTGCTCGTTTACACGAAAAACTTCACGAAAACGTTTCACGCAAATCGCGATCATGTTCGTCTATCAGCCACCTTATCGGTATAGTAATAAGAGTCGCTAACTGCCGTGCCGAAGGGCCCAGGTTCGAATCCCGGCGAAGGCATGGATGTTTGCAAATATATAGTGTCCGTGCGGCATGGGGCACTCTAAATCTGCCGCTAGCCGAAAATCCTCCCGAGAGGTTAGTGGTAGGGGAAGAGGGGGGAGACCCCCGAACCCGTCGCCCCGGGGTGCTCTCCATCAAAATTGGGAGCGAAACTGAGCTAAATCGCACTGTCACCTGTAAGGTGCTCAAGACTGTTGACAACGGCAGCCATAATCTTGCGTTCTTGCCACGAGGAATTTTATAGACTTGAGCTGACTATAGATCAGACAAATGAACATTAGTCAACAACAAGAATTCTATCATCTTGGTATATTAGTATACTCTTCCTAAGGACAGGTCTTAGTATAGTGTCCATTGCCGTCTGAAAAGTGGTATGTGCTCCGCATAAGCCAGACGGCATTCTCAGAAAAGGATAAATGCCTGACTTTATAATAAATGCTGTTTTGGGCCGATCCTTTTTTTTTTTACACAGGTTTGTATATATCCAGAGGTAAGATGTAAGGGGTCCAGAGGTAAGAGGCCGTCATACAATTCGTTGACTTCAAAATATTTCTAATTATTTCCTCGATTATGGGCAATTGATAAACGAGATATTTAGTAATGCTATGTAATTTTCGATAATTCCACTGGGAAACGTTATCCCTTATTGTTCTCTGTTGGGAGATTTTTCTTTTTACGGCATGGTACTACCAGACTAGTTAGTATAAAGACTACTTATGAGAATTGTTATCTTGTTCTTTAACCTTTCCTGGATTTCCTTTTCTATTATGTCATCTTTGATTCTGTCATAGTGATAAGGCTTTGCTCTATAATGAGCATTTGCTGTGTCTGTGCTGTAATTTACAGTTTGGATTAAAATAGGAGCACCATGAAATAATTTGGCAGTACGACTTACTAACTATTGCGTTTCTACTCAGCCTTCAGGTGATTCAGCTCGATACCTGGAAGGTTCGTTTCTGCCTGCTCCACTTCATTCATATCGAGCTGTACCATGGCTTCTTGAATATCAATTTTAGCCACGCTGCTTTGAAAAAATCTATTCCGAAAATTAATGGAACTTGCAGATTTTTCACAACGAAAAAAACCACTTCTGGTTATTCATTTTTTGCTCAAATGTATAATTTGACTCCTCCATATGTACACTGTTTGCCTTGGGCGGCAAGAAATTTTGTTCCTTCAACCCGAAACATTCTGTACCGCTTAAAATGGTTCCGAAAATCATTCTCCGTCAAGAAACTACGTTGAGCCCCTGAGTTCAATAATGCATCTGCTGGCATGTTATTTAACAAAATTTATATTACAAGCAGAGCCAATTTTTTTACTACTACCGTATTCAACTGAATTCCATAGGGATTTCCTTGTCCCCGAAGTAGCTGCCCCCTCTTACTTTCAGTACCCCTTATTAGTTTAAATTAGTTCCATCTTTTTGCTTTCTTCCTCCTGTTTTCTCGTTTTTGGTTTGTATCAAAAAGTCTACCGCCGTCAGCGCCGTTCCTAGGCATTGGCTGCTCGCGTATTTTCCTAAGATTGCCGTCCCCCAATTAAAAAAAATGCTCATAAAATTGTTATTTCATACTCACTAAGTAATAGCATATGACAAATTGTGTAAAAAGGTCCTTAGAATGAATTTAAAATATTTAGGGAAGGTATCGCAAAAGTCTGACCTCACGCGTACTTTTACGCGCTGCACCCCCGCTAGGAACGACCCTGATTGCAGTTCGACAGTCAGCTTCCTTGTGCTACAGGCCTTCGAAACTGTCCATTCAGCCTCTGGCCCATATCCTGATGAGCTCAAGCTTTCTGAAACTCTCCTGCTTTCAAATTTTATTGCAAGCTAAAATAGTCGCTGAAGCGTGCTCGAGTTTCTTAACTCAAAGAAGAACTGAATTTTAGGTAACAGCCTAAGCAATATAATTTGTATTATCCCTGCATCGGGCCTTTTCCCATACAATAAGTTAACAACTCGAATTTTTCTTAATATAAATTCCGTCAGTTCTTCAACCTTAATTTGGTATCTACTAAACAACTAAGCTTCCAGTTTCATCCTGTCTTTCACTATTCGGAATACTTTCACTAGGAAGGCTTTAAATATTTCGAATTTATAATTCTCGTTGTGTAGTTCTCCTAATAAAAATTTACCGATACTTTTGTATCAGTTCAGTGTCTGTCCTCGAAATGTGACACTTGCTGTGGTGATCTTTTGTATTTCTCTAGCTGGGTAAAGTAAGAAGAGCGAGTCCAGCTGTTCCCAAAATGTAATTTCGGAACTTCTGCTATCGAAAGTCACTGCGGATTTCGTCGACTTATTGGTGACGGTGGAGGGGTAGGCAGACTAAACGTGGAATTCTCTTATAAGTATGAATAACTCTTGATAGAATGATAGCAAATTATCGCTATGTTTAAAATAACAACTAATAAATGAATTCTGAATTTTTGATTTACACTTCATCCGCACATAAGGCGGTAAAATGGCCAAGCATGTTCCGTAGGCCTGATTCTTGAGTCTGATAATCCTGTTGTAATTCTGCATGTTATGCATTTTTTTTTTTTAAAAGTTGAAATTGCTTCACCTTCTTTCATGCAATTATTTCTACTGTTTTACAAAAATCTTTGAAATCAATAGTCTTTTCCGTATTTTTAGATTCACTAGGAGAATAGGATTACACGAAACTTCAAAGTCATGTCAAGACGATTTTGAAATGTCACCTTATCGGTTATTATAGTCCATAATATTTTCTTTCTGAATATTTTGCATAAATCAAATACAGTTGCTATTCGATTCTTCTCTGCCATTAATTCCGTCGAAAGCGCAATACTAAAATAGTGCGATTTTCATTTGGCAACACTGAAATTTAACATGGTGATGTTGTTAGTAAATAAAGCGGCTTTTGTGAACGTGTGTGAAACGTTCCCCGAAGTGTGTCGTTTCGAATTTCGCGAGGTATGCAAGTCCAGCTGATACCCTGTTTGCAGTTTTGTTAGCAAGATATGCTAGTACAGCTGGTAACCTGTTTGTGTTAAAAATAATGTTATAAATATATGTTTTATTTGCACTAAACGTAGAAAATTCTTTTTGTTTCGACGTGTAAATATCTCATTTTCTCTGTTTAAATCTTTAGATGCCAAATCAGCGGGTAATATAAGCAAGGAATAGTAACTGACTGCTTAAAATAGTAATAGTCTTTTAATAGGCACATCTAGCAGTGTGATTTTAATTTACGCCTGTACCTACAACAGTTGGGATGGCCTGAAAACAACTAGATAATATTGAATCACTAAGTTTTATTTCTATTCTATAGTAAAATATTATATTTAATAAAGTAGCTTATCTTTCATCTTGATCTAAATCACTTCTGCTATCATCAAACATTCATCTTGTATTTTTATTTCTTAAAATTTTCCTAAAATATAAGAAGGATCTTATATTCAAGGGTATTTTATTTTCAACTACATATAATTTTTATACCCATTTAAAAGTTTAAAATTAAATATTTAACAGAAATTTGAAATCCCATATTTAAAATATGTATTTGTTTAAATTCTAAGTATTTAACAATTATCATTTGTAGTCCTGTTCAAGTAAAACTTTCACTAGAAAATGTAATTTTTAGTGTAGTTGATGAAATTCGTGATTTCCATGTGCATGCTGTTAGACATTTTCTGTCTGCTTCTTTCATAATTTTTTAAAATCTTATATGTACTTAGATCTTTGAGATAAAAAAATGACAAGAATAAAGGTATATACACTGTCAGCAAAACTACAAATTTTGCTTTATATGATTTGCACAAAGAGTTAGATTTTATATTTACAGAACTCTACTGTGTTGAAATGCTTTTTCATGAAATCATCTGGTTCAATTTGAGAAACTGTATAATTGGAGGTATTTGTTCAAAGTCATCATTTAAGAATATGAAAAACCTGTAAATGGTATATTGCAAATCATAATTAATTGGTAATAATATACCATGATATGTATTCTGCTAGCATAACTAAAAAATAGATTTACTATAAGGTGTTCACCTTTCATCTAAATATTCTCAAATGCAGTTTTATAAAGTGCAGTATTTAGTAAGACTTTATTGTATGTGCAGTTTTATTTGCATAGGCATATCATAATCTTTGGTTCAATTAATATTGTAAAGTCCAAGATCCAGAATCATCAATACATTGATTATTTTGGATTTCGTAAACTTCCAGATTTTAAATTATCAGTTTAAATCTAGCAAGATCATAAGGTATTTCTCTCGCCTTCTTAACATGCCTTCCTAGTGTAGTGGTCTGCATGCTGGGTACGTATTCAAGAGGTCTATGGTTCGATTCCCAATGAGGGCATTGCTCACTTTTCATCTCTTCTGTTTCCAAAAGTACCTAATGTCCACAATGGCACCTGAACTAAAAAGGTGGTGAATGATGATTCTTCACACCCAGGATTTGGCGATTGGGTCCCCTAAAAACCTCAGTCGAAGGTATTTCTCCTGCCATAACATGCCTTTGTAGTGTAGTGGTCTGCACCCTGGGCGTATATTCCTTAGGTCCGTGGTTTGATTCCCGGCAAGTGCATTGCTCATTTTTCATCTCTCCTGCTTCCAAAATACCTAATGTCTCTACAAGATGACATGCAGAAATTACGAAATTAAAAATATTCTTTATTAACATTTCTTGAAGAAAAAAGTATTCTACATTAAGAAAGATTTTTCCCCCTTTATTTTGATATTAAAATGTTAGTGGAAGGCAAACTGGCGATATTATCTGGGTATAAAACTGTGCTATAGATATTCGCCATTCAGTTAATTGATTGGCTTGGGAACTGTCATTGCAATGTAAGACTTTAGTTATATCATAGTTATATCATCTTCATTCAGCATTTCTTCTTACAATCCATTGCTTGAAAAATTTAGCTTACTTGTGATATCTGTAAAGCTTCAGGTTCATGGCTTTTCTCATCCACATGAAATTTGGTAATTGGCTCTATGTTATCCCAAGCATTTTTAGAAATATCTGAGGACATATGCTCTCATGATCTTGTAATCACCCACACATCAGATTCTATATTAAAATATTTCTTGGATGATCTTATCTCTGGAACAATTTTTAAAAAGCTACTTTTAATCTGGATTTTAGTATTTCAAAATCCATTGGCTGATTGCTGATTCATAGCTGTATAGTTTTGGGAAGAGTAAAATAGATGCTATTTTACTAAAACTGTAATTTTGATGAGATTAATGATAATATGGGGAACAAAATGATAAGCTGTTTCAAATTAGAAAATTAAGGAAGAGCAAAATTGCTATGTTAACTGTGCTTAACTTCCTTGGAATCTAATTCTTTCTCCCTCCTCTGCTGATATGCCAACAGAAGAAAACCAGTATAAGCAGCATCCGACTGTGTTAGGGCTTTAGGCTGATCTTTGGAGTATAGTAACAGGTAGTTTGGCGACATTTTGGAGGCGATAAAGGTTATTACCTAGGACTTTGTTAATAATGCGAGAAGTATTCAGTTCCGATTACGCATTATTTTGTGTGAGTTAAATGAGAGATCATGAGATATGTCATGTGACATTAATGGACGAATTACAGTTCTTTAATCGGAAAAGGGGGGAAATTTGGAAAAATATCTGCAGTACTATAGTATTTTGTATTAGCTTCATTGTGTGTTGTGTGAAATAGTGTTGATTAATTTTCGGATTGCATGGCGCTATGTAAAGTGAATTCTTAATTTTTAATGCGTTTATCTGATAATAATAATAAGTTGAGATTGTGTGAAAGAAAGGATATTACAGATAAGTTTGAATGACGGTGCAAGAAATCTGGTGAAAATGGACATTTTGTGAAACGGAGTGTAAAGAAGGGTATGTGGTTTGCTGAAAGTAGTTTGAGTATGGGTGAAATTTTATTAATTTCTTATTACTGGGTGAATAGACTGCCAGTTGACTACTGGATTTGGGATTTAGAAATTAGCAGTCAGCTAGAATTAGTATTAGAAATTAGTACTGCAGCCGATTGGAACTCTTTCTGTAGGGAAATGTGCGTGCCACGTAATGAAGATTCTGAAGAAGATTAGGTAAGTTAGTATTTTTAATCATTTGAGGATATTATTTTTATGCATTGTTCTAAATGCAAGGAGTAAATAAATTAATATGGTATTATTGGAAAATTGTTATTAGCAATAATTTAGTTTAAAGTAATTAGGATTGTAATCTAATTTTTATTAATTTAATGTATGTGCTTATTTATATTTTAAGTAGTGTTTTTTTAATTTAATTATATTTTAATTTAATGATCATGATTTTGTGAGTTATATGTTTGTAGTATTTTGGAATACGTTTGAGTAGAATACGTTGAGTATTTTCATGCATTTTCGTGAAATTTTTCTAATTTATGAGAAAAAAGCAGTGTACATGGATATAGTGAAGAGTGTGCGCAATGCCATTTTTGTGAAATTCTGGGATTTTTTTTAAGTAAAAATAAGTTGACGTGTACATGGTTTAGTGATATTTTAATTAAATGATAGTTATTTTGTGAATTTTATGTTTGTAGGAATTTGGTATATGTTTCAGTTGAAGTAAACGTGTATGGAAATAATTTAAATATTTAACACTAAGTATTTGTAATTATTTTTAATGTTTGCGGTAAAAATTCTGTGGTGATGTTTATAATATAATAGATAATTTAGAGGTAAAAGTTTTTGGATATTTTATTTATTTTATGCGTGGAAATGTTCATCCTTGGAAAGGGTATATACTTTTTTGCGATCAGGTAATTTCATATATGGGCTTTTTACCGAGTTTAAAGATTCAAAAAATTTTCCTGCATTTTCATGCAAATTTATTGTAATTTTTGAGAAAATAGCAGTGTAGATGGATAAAGTTAAGAGTGTGTGCAATGCCATTTTTGTGCAATTCTGGGATTTTTTTAAAGTAAAAATAAGTCGATGTGTAAATGGTTTATGTGTATGTACTATTCTGAAAAACGCACAAGGAGTTTGCGATTGTGCACTTTTTCCCAATTTTGCAGTTAATATTTGTCATGATTAAGCAGTTTTGTTACATAAAATTTCTAGCATAAGTGTAATTCAGCTAGTAGATTGTTGGAAAAAGTGACAAAATGGCGGCTAAAAAAAAAAAAAAAAATAGAGGGTTCCTGTAGCAGACTTGGTCGCAAAATTTTCGCCAAAAAATCGCCAAGTTACCATAATCCAAAGATCAACGGAGCTTTATTGTTTAGGTCAGAAAAATGTTATCCTTTATAACCAGTCACATTTTAAACATGATAAAATCTTTAAATTGTTTTCAAATTATAACAATACAGAGCTTATTATAGCACCAAATGTAGCTATTTAAAAACAACTATGTCTTAATACCACTTTTATTTTTTTAATGGAAACATCGTTGTTAATCTAATTTAAACTGTAGTTTCCATAAATAATAGTTTCATCGTATTTTGAAAATATGTTGCCTTATTAAGAGAAATAGTTATTTTGTAAATATAAATGCATTCCATATAATTAGCAAAATGCTTTTGTTGCCCACATTTTTCTGTACACTCCCTGCTTAATTATATAATATGCTATACAGCTATTCTAAATACAAAAATCTAAAAGCAATACAATTTTCATGCTGCATGTCAATTCCAGATGTGTGCATATTTATTACTTTTAATTAAATTGCAAAGTTTTTGCATTATTAGATTTATTAGACTTTTTATTAAAAAAGGTAATCGAAATATTTGGGTGATTTCCTGCTAATTTGAGTTTCAGGAAATCTGAATTCTTAGAATTCAGTCTTTGTAATTATTATTTATTTATATATTAATTTATTTGCATCAGTAAATGTTTATGAGGAGAGAGACACTATTTTTTTCTTTTTTTTTTTTTTTTTCTTTTTTTTTTTTTGTATTTTTCAGTGTATTAGCTATGTTAAATGACAGTTGCAGGAAGTTCAAGTCTCAGATTGCAAATTTTTAATTTTATTTATGCTTTACTGCTATGATTATCATGCCTGTATTAATTAATGATTTATCAGATTTTTCATTTAAATTATTCAAGTGGGAAATATAACTGAAATGTTTTGGTTTGAGGTTATAATTAGCTAAAAAACATTGTTTTTAGTGATACCATACTAATTTTATCAACATTACTATTTAGACATCATTTATATTAATCTGCCTTCTCAAGTAGTAGTAGTAAGTTCTTTTTTTTTTTTTTTTTTTTTAAACTTCTGTGATATTCGTATGGTAATTTTTTTATGTTAATTTCAGTTTTTAAAGTCTAAGGATATCCAGTGTGTTAATTGCATTAACCGTATTCTGTTATTTTTTACTTTTGTATAAGCTTGCAAATTTGATGTTATCAGCAGTATGGTTTTCAAAAGCTTTAAATAGCCTTGTTCTTATTTTTCCATTAAATAAGATTACATGCAATAAAAAAAATATATATCATTGCTGCTTTAGGTCAATTATCTTAAAATGTTTGCAGTTATTTTTCATATTTTATTATATTGGTTTAAATTTTAGAGATTTTTTTCTACAATTGCCAAGGTATACTGGCAAAAATAAGTAATATAAAAATTAAAAAAATAAAACAATATTCAGAAACCAAAATAGCTGAATGTTTAGTTCATTCTGAATTGAAATCTAATCGCAAAATTTGTTCTTTGGCTCTCGTTTCTAGAATTTCAGAAATTATTTCTTTATATATAATTTTGTGATTTATGTATACAAGATTAGTGCTTGGCTGGACTTAGCTAGGTTATGCCAATTATTATTTCATATATGAATGGTATAGCTGAGTCTGAACAACACATTTCAAGAGAGAATGGCCACTAAGGACATCACTGGAATCTGGATTCTAGAGTGTTGCAAGTATGATCTTGTTGACCACAATTTGATCATGTTATGACCTTTGAAGATTAAATAAGGACTTCTGAAAACTTCATCAGTGTCATGGACTGTAATGGCAGATTAATTCTTCATGTCAAAGACAAGTTCACATATTTAAGTACAGAAGAAATATTTTTAGTCTGTAAATATTCAAGATTTTAAACTAATAACAGCCATTTTAAAAGTTTTAAAAAACATACAATTCAGTTGTACATTATGTGGTGCTGAAAAGAGAGCCTGAAATACTTTCAGGATAGTAGCAAATAATTTTCTTAGAAATCATGAAACTGAAAATTGCAAACAGCCAGTGGATATATGCCACAATGTTTCTGAAAAGTAGGATTGCAACATGACTTAATGTATTTTTTGCATTCGTATATTGATTTTCCTTCCTCCCAGATCTTTGAGTTATGAATGCAGTGAGTGATTCCACTAAAACATTTCTTGTTGCTATGTTAGGTGGTCCCTATCTGTATTATCAGATTATTATAGGGAACCTCATGTGTGAATCGTTTACAGACTCACTATGGAGGGCCGTAAAGAAATGTCTTGCATATAAGTAATATCAAGGTTAATTTGTATTACTGTATCTTAGCATTAATACATTACATACTTTTCATGATAAAAGGAATATTGTGATAGTTCTTGTGTTACAAACAGCTTATATTACTGCATTCTATAAAAAATTAGTAGACCCAAGTTAATCTCATGTTTCCATTGCTATTTTTGTTCTAAATCGTTAAGAAAGGCTAACTTTCTTTCCGAGAGAAACTAAAAGTTTCATTTCATAAATCAGTGTTAATTCAAACATTAAAGCCAAGAAACAGCTTACTAACAATTAGTAGTGCAGTTACTGCAATATGTTAAATTACAGTAAACTAAATTCTGAACAGATTTTTATTTAGTACTTTTGGGCTCTAAAGGGTATATAAAAGAAGGTTACATAAAATAATTTAAGCATATAATAATTCTCCAAAATCTTTTCTGATTATTCATCAAAGAATAGTCACACTTCTTAGTTTTTGCAGGCAGAAATTGTATATGAATATTTAAAACTTCTTGACTGATTTCTTTGTGTGTGTTTTTTTTTTTTTTTTTTTTTTTTTTTTTTTTTAATCTTGCACAAGGAAAAACCAAGAACTCTAACCAAGAATTACCTTAGATTTTCCATTTCTTCAAAGACTGCCTGAAGGTACTTTAGGACATGCTATTTGAGTTTTCAAAAAGACAATGCAAGTATACACAATAGCTTTAATTATACTCTGGTTAGTAGAACATAATTTTATTTTCAGTGTTTCCTACATTTTTCTTTTCTTGCAAGTGTTATGTGTCTGACAATATATGAAGAACACGTAGATTATGAAATACTAAGTTAACAAATAGACCTATTATGGAAATATTGATTTTTGGAATTTTCTGTATTGTTTCAACAGATCTATTAACAAAGCATAGCAATTTGTTATTAAAACCTTACAATGTAATTTGAATTAATTTGGTATACCAAATTATTTTCTGTTGTAAATGGTCTTGCCTCTCTCTGCATATTTCTATTTAAAAGTTATTGGTTGAAACATGCTTTCTACTTTCTGCTATTAATCTCTTTTAATTTTTGCTGTAAATAGTTTAGTAGCTTCCTCAGTTTTATGTAGTGTAACAAGGGCTGCTCTGTTTTTTAATAATAAATATATCTTTCAGCTACAGAGATGTATGCAAAGGATAATTCATAAATAAAATCTACAGTCATATAAATTCATAGTAAAATAAATTATTAAGATGTTATCAAGATGAGTTAAATTTTTTTTTAATTTACAATTTATTTTATAATAATTATTTACTGCTTTACAGTTTTTCTGCAAATGTGCAATCATTTTTTTTTTTTTTTTTTTTTCCCATTTCATTCTTGAAAGAGATTTGTGGTTTGTTTTCAAACCATTTAATGGGAAGCAATTTCAACTCCTGTTCCAGATGAAAAATTGTGATTTTTCATGATAAAAATGGTGATTCCATCAAACCAAAATAGAATGGTGACAAATATTCATTGGAAATAGCAGAAACTGCTTTAAGAGAATAAAATAAACCAGAAGTGCTCAGTGGTTTTTATTATGTTTTTTGGTTAAGTTTTCCACTTAGTGGCATACTGTTCCTTATACCTCTCAGTACTTCAGTGATACATGGGAAAGGTGGAACTAAATCTGTAAAGTTTCATGTCAGAAGAGACTGTACTCACATTTGAAGAGTTGGTTACTTTACTTGCAGAAGTAGAGGCTATTTTAAATTCTAAACCTCTTAATTCCCATGACTTGAGACATCAAGTTTAGATGCACTAACTCCTCAAATGACTAGTTAGTGCATCTAAACTCCTCAAATGAGGAGTTAGTGCATCTAACCTTGTATCTAACCTTGTAGGAGAAACTATTACAGGTGTTTCGAAATATAGCTGTACCAGTCTTCAAGACCTTCCTCCAGGTGGAATCTGCTGCAAAATTGAAGCAGGGATTCTGGTAGAAATGGTGCTGTGGGCACCTACATACCTAGCAGTCTAGATCAAAATGTACAAGGGATCAGCCAGATCTGGAAGTTGGCTATTGTTCTATTAACAGGTTAAACTTCTCTTGCTACATGGCCATTGGGAAGAATAGTAAAGGTATATTCAGGACCAAATGGATTTGCCACACTGACTAAAATTCGGACTTCTGATCCCATGCTCTAGTGCTCCATAAACAAGTTGATTCTCTTGCCTAAGTGTCAAGAATTCAATTCTTGAGGTTGGGAGTGATGATGGAATGCTGCATGGGATTCCTAATAGTGGAATGCTGTCTGAGATCTGTGTTTGAATTTCTTATTGCTGATAATTTTAGCTGCACGATAAAGCTGTTTACTGTTATTACAAATAGCCCTGCTATTATGGCTGTATTGCTACTATTTCAGAAATCCCAGTACTGGTTTTACTGTGTGTTGCATAGAGCTTCAGACTGCCATTCCTTTTTGTTTCTCTTGCTCTACATTACCTTATTGTTAAGTTTAATAAAAGTTTTGTTTGTTGTTACAGAATCTCATTTAATGGATTATTTTATTTCTAGGTTCAAGCATGCAACCGGTTTCAATTTTCCAAATTACTATTAAAGATTGAGCCAAGGCATGTCAATATTTGGTGGCCACTTTTGTTTCTTCAAAGCTATTTTTTGCCATTATTTTAAAGTAGTGCTTATATTTTAAATCTGTAAAAACATTCTGAATCCCTTTCTGAAGTTTCTATAAATGGATATAGTTTACTGTGTTTAGATTATGTGTATTTTTTAAACTGATACTTTAGCTGCTTCTTAATAAGATTTTACTAGACTTTTACACCAAGCTGTAGATTGCCTAACAAAAATATACGTAGGGTAAGGTTGATGAAAAGTAAAACTACAGAATATAAAAGTACATTGATTGTGTTATATGTAGCTTTGATCCCTTACAACTGTTTATAGCAAGACCATTCTATGATTTTTATATTTAAAAAATGCTACCTAATTAGAAGAAACTTGTAGGACTATGCTTTTTTATTTTTTGTTTCCTTTCATGTTTTGCTCCTGTTTTATTTATATTATTTTTTCTTTATTTAGAACTTAAGAAGGCTTGCACAATTCATTGATGATGCAGAACTTGCACAATGATATCGAGAAGTGCATAATTTACAGCACACTGTTCTTGGCATGGCAACAAATATGTTAGGTGAAGTTACTGTAAAATAGTTGAAGCAATATAAAAGGGCATCGCTATGTGTACTGCTGCTGTCATTTTTGGAGCATCACAATTCAAAACTCAGTAAGTGATTTACTTTCTTCTATACCAATGTGTAAGATTTAATTAAAATCAAGTTCTTTTACAAAATGTATATTTCATTGCATCTGAGCTTGTATCTTGTTGTGAAGATTAATATGTTATGAGGTTTGTACTTCTGATTGCAGTATTGTTGAGCAGCATAAAATTCCTGAATAGTTTACTTTAAAACATTTTTCTAAAAGTTATGCATTTAGTCTAGTCTGTTTTGTACTTGTGTTGTTTAGTACTTTTTTTTTTTTTTTTTTTTTTTGGTATTAAAGAAAGCCCTGCATTTTTTAAAGTTCATTCTTCTGTTACCTTAGTTAACCCATTAAAGCATTAATTTTTTTTTTCTGTGTAATACAACAATGTGCGTGCATTTCATTCCAATAAAGTGGGCTACCAGAGAGATGTGATTGTTAATATTGATTGTTTTTTGTCATTGTGAAAGTTGATTTGTTTGTAATTTCTGTACTGATGAAAGGATTTTATGGCATAATTGTATTGTGAAAGTTATTAAGGTACATCATTTATATAAATCTTCATTAACTTTGTGACATGTTTTTAATTTATGGATTGTGCTAATGTTGAGCTGGTGTAAATGACTGCAGGCAGTTTCCTTAAGGGCACACATTTCAAGTAGTAATTATGTTTCAGTAAAGTATGTCTTATATGGTTTACAAATCTGCATTTTAAGTGCATATTAATTTGTTACATGCATTATGCCATAAAATAATAGAGCATCTTCTAACTCATATTGGTAATAAGTGGTAAGTGGATATCCACTTTTATTTATTGGAATGGCTGCCAAGTAAGTAGCAAGAAGTTTTTTCATTTTTATTATGTCAAGTGGCAGCCTTCATTACATTCCACATAAAATATTTGTGAGGGATTATCTTGCCTTTAACAAGGACATGGCATTTTTGTTTGCGGCTTTCTGAAATAGTTTTCAGATTTTGCAATGTTAATTTGCATTATCATTTAATGGATGGCATTAACAATAAAAATCATTCTCATAAAGGGGGACAGTAAATTCAGAAAGAAGCTTCTTTGTCCACGAGTTATGTTTATGTATGCCATAGAATTCTAGGGCAGTTTAAAGATTAACTGGCACATGCAATTAAAAGGAAGTTAAAAATGAGATAAATTTCTCTACATGGGAACAACATTTAAACATAAATAAAATAGCAGGAACTTTTGTAGGTGACTCATCTGCTTCGTCAGGTAGAGCTAGAATAGTTGGCTTCATAACATTTGTCTTCTTTTAATTGCTTTCTGAAATTCGAATTGGCATCCAGATGTACGGAAGATTGAAGGGAATGTCTCTTACAATACAATTTGGTTGTGATTTTAAGAGCATTTCTCTATTTTTGAGGCTGTTTTTAGGCCAGTGTTTAGCGAAGATTTTTTTCTTGTCCTATTCAGTTATTTCCCTCGGGAGCTCATTCTTTGTGAGTGTGGGTATAACAATCCTGATGTGCACTCTAGCTCTTCAGGGGATCATCACCTATGAGAGATGGATGTCACAATCCTGGAGCCCCAGTGATATTTCCCCTTTTCCTGTTCCCCTTCTCTTCTCTACCACATTTAGCTGTACTTTTCCCCTTGCAGTTTTCCTCTTCAAAGGTTGGGGCTCATCATGAGATGCTATTATGGCCCTTGTATCTAGCTCTGAGTGGTGAGAAAACTGTCTATGTCAGGGGTAGACAACCTGTGGCTCTTTGAAATTTTTATTTGTGGCTCTCGATAAATGTACCCAAGTTCCCTTTTCATTTTTGTGTTATTAAAAAATTATTGTTTTAAAAAATTATTATTGTTCCATATATGTTTCAAAATGTGTTTTAAATTACTGACAACAAATATGAAAGACTAAGTGCAACGTTGTAACAAATTTCATTTCCGTCCAAGTTAAGAATGATAGGACTCATCAAAACCTGTGCGAACGAACATAAACAGTGGTGTAACAGTTCCGTTCATCGAATTTTCTTCCCCTTCGACTACCTTGTGAATTTTGAGAAACATATGGGAGGCAAGGCCAAAGAACATGTATGAAAAATAAATATTCTTTGTCAATCTATGATCTATGTAATCAACCGACTCTAGACTGATTTTGAATTTGTAAACTTTCATTGCAACGGACAGTTGACATTGTGCACTGGAGGAAACAATTTGTATCACTCTTGCTACGGATATAATTTGTAATCTGAAAATTTTGGTAAGTTAACTATAATTTGTTTCGTAGTATGTAATCGTGATTTCGTAATTTTTTTCGTAGTATTTCGTGATTGTTTTAATAACACAAAACTTGTATTTTCTAAATTTCTTTATTTAATTACAGTTCTTTTAAAAATATGACTGCAGAGAACGAAAATAAAAAAAAGAAAATATGAGCAAGAAAATAGAAGTTTTAATAATGAGTGGGAGGAGAATAACGGAAAAGCATTATGTGTTATTTATAATTCTACGGTCAAAAATTATAAAGCTAGCAATTTATGTTGACATTACGAAATCAATCATCCTGAGTTTTCTAATCAGTATCCACCAAATTCCAAATTAAGATCAGATAAACTTGCTTCTTTAAAATCAAATTTAAATACACAACAGTAAATTTTGATGACCTTTAGCAATCAAACTAATAATATGGCTGAAGCCAGTTTTGTTATTGCCTGGAATATTGCTCATGCCCGTATGGAGAGGGAGAGTTTATTAATAAAAACTTGGAAGATGTACTTAAAGCTTTAGATCCAAATAATGCAGCATTGCACAAAGTTGTTTCACAAATTCCCATCTACAAACACACAACCGAATAATGCATAACTGCAGTTAATACATCTCTTGATTATAATTTAAAAAATGATTTCAAGAACTGTATTGCGTTCAGTTTAGCCCTTGATGAATCGAAAATTATCGCAGATCTTCTGCAATTGGCAGTTTTCATATGTTTTGTTTCACCCGACTTTTTTGTTAAAGAAGAATTATTAGATTTAGTAGCACTTCAAGAGTCAACCCACGGTGTCGATATTAAAAATGCATTAGATTCCATGAAAACTTTTGATGTACCTTTTAATAAACTTGTAAGCATTGCAACTGATGGAGCTCTGGCAATGCTAGGTAAAACAATCATTCTTACTGGCCTTTTAAGAGATGATTCTTAAATTGCACAATTCATACCAATTCACTGCATAATTCACCGCGAACATCTTGTTACAAAATATATAAAATATCCTGATGTTATGAAAACAGTGTTACATATTATAAATTACAATTCGCACTAATGCAAAAAATCATCAACAATTCAAAAATTTCCTTGAAGAATTAAAGGATGAACTTCCAAATGAAATTAATTTATTTTCCATTATTAGCTACAACGTATTAAATGGATTTGTAGATTTGTTTGATCCGATAACTGCATTTCTAAAAGAAAAGGAAATAACCTATTCAGAATTAGATGATGACGAGTGGTTGCAAGATTTAATCTTTTTGACTAATGTCATGGAACATTTGCAAACACTGAATTTACAATTGCAGGGGAAAGATAAAATAATATCTGACCTCTCACAGTGTATATTTAGTTTTCAAACTAATTACAACTTTTTCAAAAGGACATTAAAAATAAAACATTTTGTCATTTTCCTCGAATTAAAAAAATTTCTTCCAGTATTAAACAAGAAAAAATCAATGAGTATATAAAAAAGCTAGAAGGAATATTGAGGGAATTCCAAAATAGATTTCAAGACTTGAAATATTTTAAAGCATCTCTTGATTTTTTTCTGAATCTATTTGAAATTAACATAATTCAAGGTGAGTTTTCCATTTCCAATATAATTATGACCCAAAAAGCATTTGGCGAATTAGAATTAATAGAGATGCAAGAAGATCAAGCTCTACAATTAAAATATAAGTTGAAGCCAATTACTGCATTTTGGAAATTTGTACCAAAATCAAAGTATCCTGAATTAAAAAAAGCTGCTTGTTGAATTATTTCAATATTCGGAACAACGTACTTATGTGAATTATTTTATTCCACTTTAAAATTCGTGAAATCCAAACACCGATCAGATCAATATTAACTAACCAGCATCTCAAAGAATTACTGAGAAGTGCAGTCACCAATTATTCACCAAATTTTAAAGAATTATCAAGAGAAGTAAAATAAATGTGTTTAATTTTTAATATTTAAATTCAGTACACATATTTTGTACTTTTATTTATATGTTTTCAATAAATATAATTTCTGTAAAAAAAAAATTTAATACCTTTTTGCATACCTTTTAAATACATATTTAATTGCGGCTCGCGAAAAATTTCAAATTTTGAAAAATGGCTCCGGCTATCAAGGAGCTTGCCTCCCCTGATCTATGTGTTTGCTGTTCATAGAGACCCATGTCATTGGAAAGGAGGGTTCTGGTAGTTGAAGAGCAAAACATGGCAAACAGCCACGTAGGCTGTTTTTTGGAAAAAAATAATATATTTTCTTATCAGAGTGGTGTACATGGCTTCAGTTTTGTTAAAACTAGATCTAGTTTATCATCAGGCATTGCAGATTTATTCTAGAGCATTCAGGATATTTTCTGTCCAGAGCCTTTATGTTGCTTGTTATGAAGGATATCTCCAGTTGAGGTGTGAGCAATTGTCTCTTCTGCATATATATTTAATATACAGGTGTCCCATAAATAGCACCCAAACTCTGTACAGCCATATTCCTGTTCTGATTACATAAAAAATGCACAAAGAACTGTACCTGTGCGATCCATAGTTTTCAACATAAACCTAAAAGAAAAGTATGACGTCATATTGCCGACGGTTCTAGCATGATGGAGCTCTGCTGCATTTTATAGCTGCTGTACGTGTTTGGCTGGATGATGGAATACCCTTGCCACTAGATTGGATGTGGGCGGGGGGTCTGTTCTGTGGGCATCACAATTGCCAGATTTCACAGTGTTGGATTTTTTCTGTGGAGCCATCTCAAGGAATTGGTGTATTGAAACATAATGACTACACAA